GAGTGAGACTGCCTCCTTTCGCCCGAGGCCCGTGACCACCCCCGACACCCCCACCCCCACCCCCCGCCTGGGGCCCCTGGGGATGGGGAGGGTGGAGTGGCCGCCAGGCTGGCTGGCAGGGCAGGGAGGCTGCGTTTCTGGGAATTGTGTGGGGGGGAAGCACATTGTTAGAGCCTGGAGCAGGCCGCCAGGACTGCATGTGGCCTCTGGGGGATGCCTTCTGCCTCCCCCAAGTGCTGCCTCTGGGGGAGGGAGCTGGGCCTGGGCCAAGGTTATGGGCTGGACTGGGGACTTTCCTATAGATGCTACCCTGGGTGGGCAGCTCTTCCCATTCTGCAGACTGGGAGACTGAGGTCCAGAGAGAGGGCTGCTGCAGCGGCAGAGCCGAGATATCTGCTGGTGCACGGGATGAGGCCTCTTGCTGGGCATGAGTCTCTGGTCACTGCCCTGCCCGACTTCAGAGGCCAGGATCTGAGGGAAGCCCTGATGGGGTTGGCTGGGGTCACGGCCCCGCAGTGACACCGTGGTGGCCCCCCTGGCGGCCTGGGGGGGGTCTGGTGGATGTAGAAACAGCTGGTCACCTAGGCCCGGGGAGAGCTGCCTAAGGGTAGCGGACCACGTGTGGGGGCTTCTGGGGCTGCAAGATGCCCCCACACCCTGTGGCCATGGGAAGCAAGAGGTGGGGCTCGATGTGAGTTCAGTTGGTTGGGCCTTCCCACCGAGGCCCCTGCCTCAGCCAGAGAGGAAGCACGGATGCGACCTGCTTGGGTCATGGCCGGCTTTGGGCGAGCAGGGGGCGGGGGACACAAATAGAAAAATAAATGGCCTGAGCTTCCGATGTTTCCGGACTGAGGATGGGGGAGGGGCAGGCCTCTGGGCCAAAGGTGCGGTCCAGCCTATGTGTGGCGGACCCTGGGGGTGTCGCTGGGGTGTCCCCAGGTCCCTGTCGGGGCTGTGCCTCCCCCTGAGCCCCCAGGGTAGGGCCGGGCTCCACACAGAGGAGGGCTCCTGAGGGCCACCGGCCCGTGCATCTCTCTTCTCTGGGGGCCGCCCCACGGCACCGTCTTGGGTACCGTCACTTCCAGGCGGCCTGCGGAGGGTCCGGGAGGGCCTTCTGGAGTAAGACAGGCGGGGTGGGTCTGGGAAGGAGTGCACGCTGCCTTCCATCCCTTGGGGGTTCCTCTCTGCTTCTTGCTGGTTCCCCTTCACGTCTGACCTCCGATCGGGAGGTGCTGGACCTCCACCCACACGTCTACATTTTCACGGCTCATGGTCTCCTAACCCAGCCCAGCCCGGACCTGCCTTGACTCAGCTCTCAACTCTCTGCCCCCACGCCCCCTCCCCTGCTTCAGCCCATCTTAGCAGGAGATGCTGGGAGTCCTGGAGGGAGGGCCCCATCTGGTTCTAGATCTGTGGGTCAGGCCTTCAGCCTAAAGCAGCAGGAGACATCAGCCCTGAGCTGGCCCACCAGCCCTGAGCTGGTGGGGGTGGGGCCTGCCTTTAGGGCTCCCCTGCTGGGTGGTGGCTGGTAAGTGTGGGTCTCTTACTGCCCACCCACTGCGGGTTATTGTTTTTTCCTTCCTTCATGAAACACATATTTACTAAGCAGCTATTAGGTGTCTTGGGCTGAAGATGCGGGTGGAATGAAGGCCTGGTTTTCCCAGCTGACAGTCCTTGGGAGCCAGCTCGTGGACAGTCCCAGGGGGTTTTGAGTGTGTGTGCACGTGCACCCTCAGGTATGGCCAGCGTGTGCACACGTGAGCAACTGTCTCCCCTGTTGCGTGTGGCTATACGGGGGAAATGAAGTTGTTTGCAGAGGGGTCAGGGTAGGAGGCCTGGACCAGGAAGGGGACCAGGAGGGCCCCCGCCCTGGAGTCCCCTAGGAGGGGTACCCCCCTAGTAGGGATACAGCGAGGTTTACATACCACTCCCCCCGGGAGAATCCCGTGGTTGTGACGCTACCCTCTTTGACCAGTTTTCTGAGGGTGCTGGATGGCCCCAGGGGCTCAGGCGGCTTGTTGGGGAGTAAGTTCCCAAGGTTGAAGAGGGTCCACGAGGGGTCTGCGGTGGGCTGTGATCATCCTAAGCAAGGTTCCAAAGGTCGTGAACTCATGAGGGGCCCCGTGACCAGGAACTTCTGAAGTGGAATACTGAGAATTTTGGGGTTGGTGGGTGCTGCCCTAGCGAGGGTGGGATCCACCTACAGGCCCCACAGGTGAGGGTCTCTCTCCACGACTAAGCACAGCCCCACTCTGGCCACTTCTCAGTTACGGCCAGAATTGGCCTCCGAAGGGGTAGGGTGGTGGGTAGCTGGCTGGCCTGCTGGTCTGTGGCTCCCTCCCGCCACCTAGAGGCCGCTGCTTGTTCATCAAGGGCCACAGAGGCCTCTGGGCAGGATCACCCTACTTGGTCCCCGGGCACTCATGCATGCAGCATGGGGCCATACCCCGGACTGCACCATGGCTCAGGGCTCCTGTCACAGGGCAAGGGCTGTGGCCTCCAGGTCTCCAGCTTGGAAGCACCCTGCCTCCTCTGCCACCCAGCCCCACCTATTCTGTCCTCCTCCCCAACACCTGCCCCACCCTGGGCCACCCCACTGCAGCCTTGCAGCCCAGTCTTTTGCTGGAGACCACCTGGTTTCTCGTAGGGGAGAAAGGGTCCAAGGCAGGAGGTCCAGGATTCCCACTGTGGCTGCGTAGCGGAAGGGCCCTAGTTCTCAGCTGACAGCCTCTTCTCTGGTCCATGACCTTACTCTGGTGCCAGGTAATGGGGCCCGAGCAGAAAGTAAAATTCATAGGGTTACAAAGGAAACCAGTTACAGTGCAACACAGCTACCAAAAGATTTCCTAAAACGTGTGACCCAGAAAGACAAAAAATGTGTGACACAGAAACCTAAGCGCTTCTTTACTGCTGCAGATTCTGGCAGCGGTGACCACCCGGGGCATCGGCAGGATGGCCGTGGAGGGAAGTGGCTCCCGTCTGTGCCGTGGCCAGTCCTGGCACTGCTGTGAGATGTGGGCCATCGCTTCATTCAAAACCAAAGGGACAATACGCTTCCACTAGAGGTCAACGGGAAGGATGTGAAGATTCCTTCCCACCTGGTTTCTTCCCGACAGGGTGTCGGTCCCTGAGCCCCAGGCTGAGACTGCGTCCTGCTCTCCCTGCCACCCCACCAAGTCCGCCTCTTCAGCTCCCAGACCTGCCCCGTCTCCCCCTAACCCCCCACAGTCCCTGTCCTGTGACTGCCTCTGTTCTTCTCAGCAGCGTGGACAAGGCCGTGGAGCTGGGCACAAACTCCAGACCACCAGCCACCTCCCAGTCACGGCTCCATCGGCACCATCTGCACACTTGGAACACAGCCCCCCGGCCTCCTGAGCCCCTGCCCGCCTCTGGGTGCCCACTGTTCAGAGTCCACCCTGGTTGGCCACAGTTCTGTGCTTCTGCCCCTGTAGACAGAGGGCAAAGACCTCAGGGCCCCACCCTTGGGTTACAAGAAGCAAAGGTCTTCATTCTTCACCAGCTCCCTAGGTCACGCGTTAGAGTCACATTTTTTTTTAAGGTTTATTTATTTTTTGAGAGAGAGACAGAGCACGTGCAAACGAGCAGGGGAGAGGCAGAGAGAGAGAGAGGGAGAGACAGAATCCCAAGCAGGCTCCACACTCACCATGGAGCCGGACGCAGGGCTTGATCTGACAACAGAGGGACACCACGACCTGAGCTGAAATCAAGAGTCAGAAGGTTAACCGACTGAGTCACCCAGGCACCTGGTCTCACGATTACTTGGCCTGAAATTTAGCGAATGTGGGGCCCACAACGCTATAGACGTCAGTTCTCTGGCTTCTACCCTCTCCCTAGAACTGTGCCCTGTCCAGCAAACCACTCAGCATCTGCATCACTGAGGAAGGGGCAGACATCTGGAGGGGATGCGAGCTCTGCCCCTCCCCAGCCCTCTCACGGCCAGCGCCATCCCTCCGACTTGAGTACCGTGTGGCCACTCCCAGGGACCTCCAGCAGCAAAGGTGACCACTGAACTGCTCACGCTGTGTCCCCTGATCTGTTGTTCTCAACGCATGATTTGTATCAACTCACATCGTCCTGAGAGCAGCCCTCTGAGGCAGACAATGTTACCATCTTCGTTTCACAGATGGGAAGACCGAGGCGCACAGCGGTTAGCGACTGGTCTCAAGGGCAGAGCCCGGGATTCACAAGCCGGTAGCTGACTCCTGAGGCAGGAGCCTTGCCCAAGCGGCCTCTCCAAGTCCCCCGGCACCTTCTGAACCGCGGCCCCGGCTTCTTCCAAATCCTGCATCCGGCTACTGCTCCCTCCCACCTCCGGGCGCCCCGCACCAGGGCTCAGGGGCCAGAATCCAGGCCAGAGAGCGCAGGGGGTCCGCGCAGGCTTGGGGGTGGGGTGGGGTCGGGGGGTCTCCCGCCGGGTCCGGCTGTCCCCGGACGGCCGAAGGTGGAAGAGGAGCGTTCGAAGCGGATGGAGATAGGGGACGGACCCCAAGGTGCCTTTGTGGGTCCCACGTATCTGGACCCCGGGCAGCTCCCGGGCGGAGGGCTGGGGTGGGACTCCCTCGGGGTCGCGCAGGGGCCGGGACTCACGTTCTGGCCTCGCGCTACCGCAGCGCCCTCCGCCGGCTAGCCGCCTCGCGCGGGGGCTCGTGGGATTGCGAGTCCTCCGGACCCGTCGTCCTTCGGCGACGGCCCGCGTCAGGACTACACTCCCCAGGAAGCCATGCAGAGCCGCATGGTTTCTGGGAGTTGTGGTTCAGCGCGTGGCGAGCGCGCGCGAGGCGGGCGGCCGCGAGAACTACATGTCCCAGGACGCAGCGCGGCGGCCGCGGGGGCCGGGGGTTTGAACGGAGGGTCTCCCGCCCGCGGCTGGGCTGCGTCGGCTGCGACGGGTGCGGGAGGCGGCGACGGCCGGGGCAGGGGGTCTAGGCCCGGAGGCTGAGGCTGGCGCGGCGGGCGCTGGGGGCCCTGCCCCCGTGTCGATGATGGGCAAAGAAGAGGAGATTGCGCGGATCGCCCGGAGGCTGGACAAGATGGTGACCAAGAAGAGTGCGGTGAGGGGCGCGGGCCGCCAGGACCCCGGGACCCCCGCCCCGCCGACCCCTGCCGAGCCTGCCGAGCCCCCTTCAGGGTCGGGGAGACCACCCGAGGGGCAGGACGAGACCCCGCCCCAGCAGAGACTCCCGGGACGCGGGGAGAGACCCCCGTCGGTGGCCGAGACCCCTGCCCTGGGCCAGCCCTGCCCTTCACTCCCGCACCCACGGCAGAGGCCGCAGTCGGGCCTGGACCTTGTCCCTGGAGCCGCCCTCTCTGGACTCAGACCCCAGCTACCAGGCTGAGATCCCGCAGACCTGAGACCCGTCTCCTTACTTGCCCCCTAACTCCGGACTCCCCCACCCCACCCCTACCAGGGCAGGCCAGCGGAAGCATTCCTCGGTCCCGCCCCTCAGGCCTTGCGGAGTCCCCAGCCCGTTCAGACCTTTCTTATTGGCTGCCCCCCCCCCCCCCGCCCCCCCCCCGCCCCCTTCCTCCTTCTCAGCCTGGGCATCCTCACAGTTTCCCTCTCGCTCTCAGGACTCTCCGCAGACAGCTACCCCCCCCCCCATCCCGACTCAGAGCCCTCTGCCCCACCCTAGGTCTCCCACATCCTTTCTCAGTGTGCAAGAGTTTGGAGTGTGAGATTGGACCCCCTTTTCTCCTGGAGCTACAGCGCTTAACTCTGTTGGGCCTGGGGTTGTGGCCCTCATACCCCTTCACAAGCGGGCCAGAGGCCTTTCCTGGTGGAGAGGCCCCCCTTTTCCTCTGTATCTGTCCCTGCCCTACAAGAACCAGATTTCCCTAATAAATTCTTTCCCTTCCTTAGCCAGGACTCAGCCAGCAGCAACTGGGGAGTGGGTAGATATGTAGAGACCCCTGCTTAAGACCCTTGGGAGGTCTGGTGAGCCTGGCCTGGGAGTGCTTTGGTGCTAGAGCCCCCCGCCCCCGCCAGCTGTGCTCACTATGCTGCCTGGCCTCTGTTGTCCTGTGGTCAGTGAGCCTTTGTAGGAGGCTGTGTCATGATCCCTAAGAGGAAGCAGGTAGATGGGGTTCCAACTGCAGCCCCTCTTCAGCTTTGGGATTTTGACAACCTGTGTACCCTCACATGGAAGCATTCTTAGTGGGTGGCACCTGCCTTTAGGATGTTGGGAGGGGTCCTGGCTGGCTTCCCGAGAGGCTGAATAAACACAACCTGCCCTCCCCTGCAGACTAAGAATAGGGAGGTGGTGGAGGAGGCTCAGTCACGGGCCTGAGATGCCTGCACAGCCGCCCCAGGGCTGTCCGCCTGCACTGGTGCTTCGGGTGGTTTTTGGGATTAAGCAGGCTCGTCCTGGGTCCCCGGTGACCAGGTTCTGGACAGGGGTCTACACTGGGGCCAGAGGGGTGGCTGGCTCCCACTCATTCATTCATCCAGCAAGCAGCACCCCCTCCACACACATTGTCTTCATACCCCTGGGAGGCCGTGGGCAGCACAGAGCAAGGGTGTGGGAACAATCTTTAGCTGTTTCCAGAGATGACCAGAGAAAGAAGCTGCTTCCTCTCTTGAAGGAGACAGCACCCCCCAGGTGGGGACAGAGATGGGTTATGGAACCCATGGAGGGCTGGTTGGGGCCAGGTAGAGCTGGGAGGAGGGTGTATCCAGGTTGGAAGCACAGCCACAGCTTGAATAGAAGCTCCAGGGGAGATTGAGGAGGGGGCGTCGACCACCCTCTAGACTGGGAAGGCAGTCTAAGGGGTTTGGGGGTGCTGTGGCATGGGCAGGGAGAGCCAGCGGCGGTTCTAGTCCCTGTGAGGCTTCTTGGGGATTTGGGAGCCATGATGGGAATTGTGTTTATGCCTCTGGTCTGGAGCCCACGAGAAACTGACCTTACACAGCCCAAGGCTCTGTCTCAGGGAAAATGATCAGTGAGCAGCACTGTGTCCTTGGCTCTGACAACCATCTTCCTTCCCTGAGGAGATCACCTCAGGGCTGGACTCTGCACAGGCTGAGGGGCAGAGCCTGCTGGGGGTGACAGGGAGGGGGCTGCAGAACAGAGGTGCCACCCAGATTGTGGGCGGGTAGGGGAGCCGGGGGCGGCTGGGAGTGGGGCCAGCCCTTCCCACGGCCTGTGCTGCAGGACATGGGGCTCTCACAGTCTTGGGTGGCTGGTCAGGCTACTTCTGTCCCCTTCATGTCAAGGGAGAGACCCATACATTAAAACACACCGGTGTGTTAAAGAGTGAAGCATCTGTGGAAGAGAGCAGAGCAGGGGAGGAGGATGGGGGTGTTGCATGGGTTGTGATTTCAATTTTAAGTAGAAGAGGTCTTGCCAAGAAGGTGTCATCTGAACAAACTTTTGAAGGTGGGAGAGTACAAACCTGTAGATATTTGGGAGGTATTTCTATGGCAGTGGGGGCAGCAGGTGCAAAGGTCCTGGGGCAAGCAACTTGGCACACTTGAACATTAAGCTGAGCCTCGAGTGGAGAGAATGGCCCATTTGGGCATGGCATTGGCATGGGAGAGAGCTTTGAAGAAACAAAGCTGTGGGGTGGGAGGGGGCAAGGTGGGAAAGGTGGCTGGCCTGAGGGTTCAGGCAAGGCCTGGAGGGATTGATGAAGGGCGAGGCCACAGGACTTGAACCTGGACATGGTGTAGGTGTGGGGGTAGAGCGTGTGGCCTCAGCAGGGGACACTGACCTTGCTTGGGTCGCCCCCTCTGAGCAGGTAGGGGGGCCACCTCAGGGTATGCTGCCAATCCACCTGTCCTGAGACCGGACAGGACAGTGAGTACCCCTGGGGCCCCACACCTGCAGCTGGGTGTGGCACTGCTGCCGGAGAGGGGCTGAGGTCCTTGACGGTGTTTCCCATAGCCATGGTTTGGTCAGTGACCCAGAATGCTGGGATTGAGTGTACAAAGACGCTTTCCTTCTCGTCCTGACCCTCCCTGGGCACCTGACCACAGGTGGATCTCCAGTTGTCACTGTTTGTGCCCCCCCTACCCTTGTGTGTAGGAGGAGGTGGGATCATCCCACCAAGACCTTGAAGTCATTTATGAAGGTCCCCCTTCTCCTTCCAGGAGGGAGCCATGGACCTGCTGCGGGAGCTGAAGGCCATGCCCGTCACGCTGCACCTGCTGCAGGTAGGGCCCTGCGTGCCTCCTGCCCGGGACAGCTCCTGGGCACCTGGCAGGGCTTCCTGGCCCATGCCCTGGGCCTTGGTTGGCACAGGTGTCTGTCCCAGAAGAGACCGTCCCTGCCTTTGTTGCTGAGGAAGACAAAGGGGAATCCAAAGATAACCCACCCTGTTCCTTGCCGAGGTTCCTGGGTTCCACAGGGGACAGTAACCCTCGGAAAGGCCATCCACCTCACAAGCTGGTCCCCACCCCCTGCCCTGTGGGAGCCTAGGAGGGTCTGCGAGAAGGGTCTGACTGCTGCCCCTCAGCCCAGGCTGCTTGCCTTGCAGTCTACGCGCGTCGGCATGTCCGTCAACGCCCTGCGGAAGCAGAGTTCTGATGAGGGGGTCATCGCACTGGCCAAGTCGCTCATCAAGTCCTGGAAGAAGCTCCTGGGTGCGGGTCCAGCAGCAGGCTGAGAGCTGGGGCAAGGGGAACCCTGAGAAGCGCTGGTCAGCACTGTGTAGGGTGCTGGCAGTGCTGTCCCTGAGCCAGGGCCACCTGGGAGCGGGGGTGTGACAGAACAGGTCCAGGAAGGCTTGGGGCTTGGGGGGAGAGGTGTTCCATGTAGAGCAAGGAGAAAAGAAAGTTCGAGATAGGAGCAGGACTGCATTGAGGGTGGCTGGGGGGCCCTGCAGGGACCTGGCACAGGCAGGTGGTCACACTGAGAGGTGTCAGGGCAGCTAGAGGGCAGGGAGCTGGAGGAGATGTGGGGGGAGAGGAAGAGGGGAGAAGGTTTAGGGGGCAAGGGAGAGAGGAGAGGGGGCACAGCCACTCAGCACAGGGTGACTGGGGGTTGCAGAGATGCCGACTTTGGGACCCTGAGGCCCCCCCCTCCACCCCCCACCTTCCCAGCCTCTCCTGGGCTCTATCCAAACCCTTGTGAAATAGAGCTTTGTGTCCTGGGTCTCTTCTACTCCCGCGTGGCCATTAGCCCACGTGTTGGACAAGTGTGTTTCTCCTGGTGGTGTGGGGGCTGCTCCTTATCCCGTGGGCCGGTCCCCAGCACAGGCTAGGGTTTCAGGAACCTTGTGGGGGCGTGCTCAGTGGATGGCAGTTCTCTGTGACCCCCAAGGCCCAGTTGAGGAATGACCATGCCTCATCGTGCTTCATCTGTGGGGGCTGTCACTTGGGGGGCTCCATACTCAAGGGTCACTTTGGGCAGATGGCAGTCCTCCCTGCTTGGATGGGCAGTGGGGTAGACCCCAGAGAAACCTTACAGGTGGCCTGTTTGAGGAGGGGGGTAGGAAAGAGGGGGTGGGGGCTGTCTTGGGACCTTCTGAGCGGGGAGAACAGAGGGCCCCAGTTGTGGAAGGCTCAGCAGCTAGGGGCCCCGGTGGGGTTCGGGTTGGTGGCCTAGGGCCGGTGGTCTGGCTAAGGCTATGTCTTCGTGGTGATCCGCTCCCTTCCCTGGCCTGGGACTCCCCTCTGGCTCTGCCTCTCCCTAGCCAGCCTCCCCCTTTCCTGGCACCTGCAGATGCTTCAGACGCCAAAGCCAGGGAGCAGAGGAGGGGCGGACCTCTGCCCGCATCGTCCTCGAAGGAGTCCCCTGAGGCCCAGGATCCCAGGTAGCGTGCATCTGGAAGGCAGGTGCACACCCTCCTGCCCCCGGGTGCCCCGTGCTCGGCAGATGAAGGTGCTGGTTTCCCTGTGCCCTGGGTCCGCTGAGGCCATACGAAGGCATCAGCCCTTTCGGTTCCTTGGAAGGGAAGGGACTTTCCCCAGGGAGCCTGGCCTGGTCGGCCTCTTGCTGCACACTTCTCTTCCAAAGCTCCTCTGGAACTTTCTAGCCCCAAGCATCTGAGAGGTGAGGCTGTGTCCACCTGGCTGCATGGAGCTCCTACGTGTCCTGAACAGGCCTGTGGCG